CCCCCCCCCCCCCCTTATGTGGCGATTCCATATAACATTTCGAGATGGGGAGGTAAATCTGTTTCTCCTGTTCAGCATGCTTAGTAGGAATTTTGTTTTTGGTAAAAGTGACATTTCAGATTCATTCATTCAACAGATATTTGAGTGCCAGACACTGTTATCCTGCTGGGATATAACAATAAATAAAAGTCCCTGCGGTCATGGAGCTTAACATACTAGCTGGGCAGTGGTAAGTGCTATAGAGAAAAATAAAATCAGGGTAAGGGCTGGGGAGGAGGTTGTTTTCTATAGGGCGATAAGGCAAGTCACTATAAAAGCTTGTATTTGAGCAGAGACCAAAGGAAAGAGCAAACCAGGTGGTTATCAGTGGGTGTTTCAGGCAGAGGGAATATTGAGTGCAAAGGCCTGGAGGTGGGAATATGGCTGGTGTGTTCTTGGAGCAACAGACCAGTGTGGCTAAAATGGACTAAAGCAAGGGGGAGAATTCTAGGAGAGAGGACAAGGTTATGTGTATGGGTGAAGTAGATCGCATGGGGCTTTGCTTTGAAATCCAGTAGGGTTGGGACTATGGGCAGGCCATTTGGAACCTTGGAGAAAATTAAGCTGGATTCGCCCTACTGTAATTTAATTTTGATGATCAGAATTTAATTGTAAAAATTAAAATTCTAAAATCACTAAGAAAATGAGGATGAGGGGCACCTGGCTGGCTCAGCCAGTAGTGCATATGACTCTTGATGTCAGGATTGTAGGTATAGGTTCAAGCCCTACCGTTGGGTGTAGGTATTATTTAAACAAATAATATGGATGAGTATACTTTTTTATTTTTTAATTCTGCTATTTATTGATCTTTTTTAAAAATTGAGGTACATTTGGCCTACGGTGTCAGTTTCAAGTATACAACCTAGTAATTCTACGTTTTTATATGTTGCAAACTGATCATCACAGTAAGTCTGCTTTTTGTCTGTCTCCATACAAGTTAATACGGTATTACTGATTGTATTCCCTCTACTGCATGTTAAAGCCCCCTGCCTTATTTACTTTGTACCTGGAAGTTTGTACCTCTTGATCCCCTTCATCCATTTTGCTGCCCTGTCCCCCATGCCAACCCTCTTCCCTCCCTGTTCTCTTTTTCTGTGAGTTTGGGTTTTGTTTTGTGTGGTTGGTTTTTTTAGATTCCACTTATCAGTGTGCTATTTGTCTTTCTCTGTCTGACTTCTTTCACTAGCACAATGTCCTCTAGGGCCATCCATGTTTGTTGCAAGTGGCAAGATTTTGTTGTTTTTTGTCTTGTTTTGGTGGCAGAGTAGTATTCCAGTGTATATGCACATCATATCTTTATCTATCGGTGGACGCTTTGGTTGTTGCCATATCTAGGTTCTTGTAAATAATACAGTGAAACTGCAGTGAACGTAGAGTTGCATGTAGTTTTTCACTCGGTGTTTTCATTTCCTTCAGATTGATACTCCAAAGTGGTATTGCTAGATCATATGGTAGTTCTATTTTTAATTTTTTGAGGAACTTCCATACTGTTTTCTATAGTGGCTATGCCAATTTACATTCCCACGAACAGTGCACAAGGGTTCCTTTTCTCCACATCTTTCCTAATACTTGTTATTTCTTGTCTTTTTGATAAGTCATTTTGACAGGTGTGAGGTGATACTTCATTGTGGTTTTCATTTGTATTTCACTGATGATTAGTGATGTTGAGCATCTTTTCATGGGCCTGTTGGACACTTGTATGTCTTTGGGAATACATCTATTCAGATTGCTTATTTTTAAATTGGAATGTTTGGGGTTTTTTGTTATGAGTTCTTTATTCTGGCTATTAACCTCTTTTTGGATTATTGGATATATGGCTTGCAAATACTTCTTTCTATTCAGTAGGTTGCCTTGAGTATATTTTTTAATATGTGCATGGTGATAGTCCTGAAACCAAGAAGATTTAAAAAAAAAAGTTGTATATATGTGATTACTTGAAGTTAAAAATTTCTCATCATAAAAGTCAGCAAACCGGAAAAATATTCCTAATACTTTGGAACAGAGTTAGTTTCCTTAATGTCCAAAGATCTTGCAGAAGTTAGTAAAAGAAAATCTAGGAGAACAATGAACAAAAGAAATGGAACAAGAAGTTTCTAGAAAAGGAAATAAATGGCAATAAACAAATGCAGAATATTGTTATTAAATAAAAGTAAATTAGACCCTGAACAGAGGCATGATATAAGCCATGGACTTCTGACCCATGGAAAATGAAATAACAAACGTGCATGGTGATGTTTTTCAGGAAAGTGAATGAGGAAATGTTGTATTTTGTCTATCAGATTGACAAAAATTAACAAAGTGGGTAATATCTACAGATACTGGGTAAAATAGACATTACATAAAATTTGTCCTTTTAACCATTTTTAAGTGGTCAGTTTGGTGGCCTTAAGTCTATTCACATTGTTATGGAACCATTACCACCATCCGTCTCCAGAACTTTTTCTTCTCCTAAAACTGGAAAACTACCCATTAAACACTGACTCCCCTTTGCTCCCTCCCCCTGTCAATCACCATTTTACTTTTTGTCTTTAAGAATTTGGTCTTTCTAGCTACCTCATGTAAGTGGAGTCATATATTTGTCCTTTTGTGATTGGCTCATTTCACTTAGCACAGTGTTTTCAGGGTTCATCCATGTTGTAGCATGTGTCAGAATGTCCTTCCTTTATAAGGTTGAATAATACTCCACCGCATTGTGTATACTACGTTTTATGTGGTCACCCATTGATGGACACTGAGGTTGTTTCCGTATCTTGGCCGTTAGGAATAATGCCGCTATGAATATGGGTGTACTAATACCTGCTTGAAACCCTCGTTCCATTTGTCTTGAGTATACAGAAGTGGAATTGCTGGATTTTGTGGTAGTTCCATGATTAGTATTTTGAGGAACCACCATGGTATTTTTTGGTTATGTGTTTTAGTCCCTATATAGTTTGTGTAACCACCACCTAAATCAGGATACAGAACAGTTCCATTATAAAAAACTTCATTCTGCTGCCCCATAGCAGTCAGTTTTTGTTAAGTGGAAAAGAGAGCACAGTTAAATGCTAAGAGAACAAAGTAAAACAGAAAGAGGAGGATGCTGAGCTTTAGGAGGGCCTCCTTTCTGTTAGATGGTATGTGGTAGATTGTGATGTACCTTCCACATCTGTCTTCAGCTGGGAGAGCTGCTTCACCCAAAGTCTTGACATCTTAGGTTGGCTAGCATTTAGGGACTGATCTGTGCGGAGTTCTGCCACGGCTCCCACATCCCAACACAGTCGATTCTGAAGGGACTTCCTAGTTCAGACTTCCCTATGGTTTCAGCTGAGGCTTTGTTGGAACTCTTTGACAGCTCAGCTTCCCTCTCTGCCCACTCATGCTTTCTTCTCAACAGTGGTTTCCCCTGGGTCACTCCCTACTAAACACCATGTGTTAATCTCCATCTCACAATCTGCTTCCCAGAGAATCCAGTTTATGGCAGTTTTGTTAATTTGCACTATGGATAAATACAAAGCAAAAAATGAATTATGCTTGAAGAGTATTTTTATTTTCCGTATTACAATCTAAGGAATATATCACCATTTGGATAGTACAGCTCTTCAGAAGCAAGAGTAGACATTTCCGAACAAGTGTATTTTATGTTTTTCTTATCTTGATCAAAAACTGATGTCTCCTAATAGAAAAAAAGTACAGGCTCACTTTTGGCTCAGAGTTCGCAGAGCACTGTATTTTTGGTTTCTGCAAAAGATGCTAATTGTAATCTGGTGCTGTTCTTTTCTTTCATAGAACCACAGAATAAGAGAACTCCAGACTTACCTGAAGAAGAATATGTAAAGGAAGAGATCAAGGAGAATGAAGAAGCAGTCAAAAAGATGCTTGTAGAAGCCACCCGGGAGTTTGAGGAGATTGTGGTACGTAGACTAGATTTCAACTCTTATTTTCTCTCCTTCTATTCTTCTTCTTTAAAATTGGTTATTGCATTTAGTTTTTGTACACCTAAGGCCCTGAAAGGTAAGGTTTGGAGTGGGAGAATGGAAAGTGGGACTGATCTTGGTTTCAGGCATGCAGTTTTGAGGGAGGGGCGTGTGGGTGGCTCATGCTGTTAAGCATCTGACTCTTGATTCTGGCTCAGGTCATGATTCACTTGTGATATCGAGCCCCCTCGTCAGGCTCTGCGCTGGGCGTGGAGTCTGCTTGGGATTCTCTCTTTCCACCTCCCTCTGCCTTTCTCCTGCACATGTGTGCATGTGTGTTCTCTGTCTCTTAGAGAAAAGGGGGAGAGGGAGAAAAATTGGGGAGAATTATTAAAAAATTTTTCTTTAGTGTTTGTTTATTTTTGAGACAGAGACAGAGTGTGAGTGGGGGAGAGGTAGAGAGAGAGGGAGACACAGAATCCCAGGGAGGTTCTAGGCTCTGAGCTGTCAGCACAGAGCCCTATATGGGGCTCGAACTCATGAACTGTGAGATCATGACCCAAGCCTAAGTCAGATGCTTAACCACCTCAGCCACCCAGGTGCCCCTGATGAGAATTATTTTGAAACCGTAGACAGCATCCTATTTTGGATACTTTGATCACAGTGTAAGGTTTTCAAAGTTAAGACTGTGGATTTATCTTTTGAAAATATTTTTGTGCTTCTCAGGAAAATAAATGCAATTTTTGAAGGAGTTTAATTTTTTTTTTTTAAAGCAAGTTTAGCTTTTTGTGTATTTAGAGTGGTTTTGGGATTTTTTAACGCTTCCTTATTTGGTCTAGCTTCTGATACTCTGTTGGAGTCCCATATTTGATCATAGTTACAGGGAAAGGCAAGAACTATAAAGTAGTGAGGAGTAATTTAAAAGAAAGACTCAATTATATGTGCATATTTTTTCCACGAAAAAGGATCTTTTAAATTAATTTTTCTTATTGTAAAGGGAAGTGATCAGGCCTTATTATTAGGAAAATAATTTAAAGATCTGTAATTGGTGAATGAAGGAATGCACAAGAATTGGCAGAATTTAGTGATTGTTGCCTTTTGAAGTCTGAGTTTTGTTTTATATTTGGTCAATTTTCCATAAACTTTGAAATGCAAGCATGGTCTACATAGGTTTCTTCTCACATAACGTGCTTTGTAATGTGCCTAAATGTAGTATAGTACGGAGACCCTAGTCTGCTCATACATCTGTGTGTTTTGAGTAGTTAAGTGAAGGCATTGGTATGTACTGGGGATGTAAGTGATGAGAGCAAAAGAGATACAGTTCCTGTCCTTAGGGAGCTTACAATCTGACACTGAAGCCAAAGTTTTGTTGTTTTTTTTATTTTTATTTTTTATTGTATTTATTTTTTTTACGTTTATTTTGAGAGAGAGAGAAGGGGACAGAGGATATGAAGTGGCCTCAGCAGAGAGCCCGGTGTGGGGCTCAATCTCAGGAACTGTGAGCTATGACTTAAACCAAATCTGATGCTTAACTGACTGAGCCACCCAGGCGCCTCTTTTGTTTTGTTTTTTAAATGTTTTTATTTTTGAGAAAGAATGAGAGAGCGTGAGTGGACGAGGGGCAGAGAGAGAAGGGGGTGCACAGAGGATTCAGAGTGGGCTCTGTGCTGACAACTTTGGCATTGACAGCAGCTAGCTGGATGTGGGGCTTGAACCCACAAACCGTGAGATCATGACCTGATCCGAAGTTGGACACTCAACCATCTGAGCCACTCAGATGCCCCTGAAGTCAAACTTTAAAAAATGATCTAATGAACGTGTGTGTACACGTGGACATGTATGCACATACACATATTTTTCATTATTTACTGTAGCTTTTCATGTTCTCTTGGAATACCATAGTTGTATGTATACATGAATATGCACATAATGTACACATAAGCACACTTATATCCCCCACTTACAGACACAGACACTCCCCTCCCCTTAACCCGTCATGTACGTAAACTTACATACACACATGCAACATGAGTAAGTATAAGAAGGAGCATAGCGTATTGGAAGAACTGAAGGAAGTCCAATGTGATTGGGGTGAAAAGGGCAAGCAAGGTGGTGGGAGAGACTAGATATCGCAAGAGTGTTTGGGACTTGGTAATTAGGAACTGGTCGTATTCATCGCTTTCTCTAGGTTGACGAGAGCCCCGATTTTGAAATACACATAACAATGTGTGATGATGATCCACCTACACCCGAGGAAGACTCTGAGACACAGCCTGATGAGGATGAGGAAGAAGAAGAAGAAGAAAAAGTTTCTCCACCAGAGGTGGGAGCTGCCATTAAGATCATCAGGCAGTTAATGGAAAAGTTTAACTTGGATCTGTCAACAGTTACACAGGCATTCCTAAAAAATAGTGGTGAGTTGGAGGCTACTTCCTCCTTTTTAGAGTCCGGTCAGAGGGCTGATGGGTATCCCATTTGGTCCCGACAGGATGACTTAGATTTGCAAAAAGATGACGAGGATGCCAGAGATGCATTGGTCAAAAAATTTGGTGCTCAGAATGTAGCTCGGCGGATTGAATTCCGAAAGAAGTAATTGGCAAGACAATGAGGAAAGAAAAAAGATGTGGCAAGAGAGGTTAAAAAAAAATTTTTGTCAACGTTGTCTTTGGAACTGACACTTGTCTTCTGACCAATGCTGCCATTGCTCTATGAGTCTTAGATGTTGTAGCCAAGCAGAGTTGTGTAGGAGGATAAAAGTAAAAGACATTTGACATATTTAGAGTTGTCCCTGGCAGTATCAGTATGTTCATAAAGGGAAATCCACACCAGACAGAGGTTGGTCTTTGTAGTAGTAATCCTTTTCTGAATGGAACCCTTGCTATATATATTGGTTTCAGGAGCTAGTGACAGAGTCAAAGGAGGAAAATAAAGAGCCTCTATCCTTTGGCAGAAACTCTTCTAGATTATGATAGATTCCA